CTGAACCGCACGGGGACCACGCTCTGCAGCAGACCCTTCCTCGATAAAAGCAAAAAAGAAAACCTGATTGTGCGCTAATTGCGCTAGAAGTTTCTAGCCAGCGTGACTGCCCACTCCCACAGGGAAGAAAGGCGTGAAACAAATTTTAAAAATAAACATGTTTTGGGTGCGTGTCAGTGTGACTAGACATCCTCATACCACATGCGCAGCGGAGGGAAGCGTGTTAAGCGCAGCTCAGCAGCGGTTATTTTGCAAGCCCTGGCTGCTGGAAACCATTTGCACGTAAACCCGTTTGACTGCAGGCGTATCCCTTTGGTACGGATCCTACAGCAACCCTGCCTCTCCTGGAGGTGTGCCGGATCACGGCTCTGCCGTGGCTATCGCTACTCCACTACGACACCTCGGGTGCGGAGGGCCCGTGTCCGTAATTCCCCTTCTTCCCAAGCTAACGTGATTTGGGGGAGCCCTGCCCCGTCTGCGGCGAGGCGGAGGGCAAGCAGCGAGGCACGTCCTCCCACCAACCTTCACGCTACGCCTACGGAGACGTTTCTGCAAGGGCACAGATTCCAGTGCTGATATAATATTTGCTGTGCCAAGGGCTGGAGACGTAAATGCTCGGCCAAAGTTTCCTTCAGCGACAACCCGAGGTAGGTTCTGTGCTGGAGGGCTTCAGATGGTGGCTACAGCCCAACCGCTTCCTCCGCACCAACACCTCAGGATTTCTCCCTCTTAAATTCAGGGTGAAAAGGATTCTTTTACGCTCTCCAGAGTGCCGGAGCCTAGCGGGACACTCCTAAACGTGCAGAAAGTGGACGTGATGGGATGTAAACCCGTTACTGGACCGTGAGCTCCTGAGAGACCACGTAAAGCCTTTCCCTGCACGGCCAAAACGTCTGCTGGATGCTCGAACCAGAGTCCACAGGTTTACATCCCCTGGCAACCTCCACCTCCTTTAAAATAACACTGTCTCGGGTCTCCTCCTGTGCATTTAATCCCGAGGGGGAGCAGCACTGATGAAGTCCTGTGCGGTCTAGTTCTCGCCCGCATCCAAAATGCAGAATAATTAACAAGTGTGAGAGTTACTATGAGCTCTGAAATCCCAGGTCAGTAATGCTGCTGAGGGTTGATCTAGCACTCGCTTGGGCCAAAGCACGTACATAAAACTACACAAGGAATGAAACCACCTCGTCCACAACTGCTTTACAGCAGTAGCTTTCCATAGTTTTAATCTCACGGGGAACTGCCCGTGTCCTATTTCAACCTCTTCATTCTCCACAACATTAGTTGTTTCTTTAAACACTGATGTAAACGAAGTGGGTTTTTTTTGTTTGTATACCTCAAGCATGCAAATTATTCCCATCATAAATGTGTATCTGACTTCATTTTGTAAACTGGAGTCTTTTGGAGCTACAGGCACTAGGAAACTACCCGTATGACGTGGCAGACAAGCTCAGTTTCAGCTCAGAGCTGCAGCTTGGTATCGTCTTCAATCTTTGGGCAGGTTTCTAAGACCGGGCTTAAAATGGCTCATGCGCAAGTGGCATTTGGGTAGGCGATGGCAACTATTTATTTGGATCAGAGCAAGTACAAGAGGCTTTGGAGTGCAGAGCTTCAAGCGGCTGTTGCACGGAATGAACTTCAAACCAAAGCAAGTTACTGTCCCATCCAAGTAACAGGCAATACCCACCACGAGCTTAGCCCAGCCACGCAATAACCGCTCGAACAGATAAAGTTTAAATAGGCAGCCCAAGGGAATTGCTCATAATAAACTTGGGGGGGGGTCACTCTTCAAGCGCCTACTGAATCTGTGTTCTGCGCAGCGCCTCGTGACAGGAGCGCAAGGTTGAAAGCAGCGGCAAAACAATGCAGAGGAACTGAAGAATTAAAGTAGGCACTTAATAGCGCTTTAAAAAGATACTGAGACGTGTTTTAGCGTCTGCTCAGCAGCCACACATAGGCTTAAGACATCTCATTCCTCCAGTTTATTTCCTGGGTTGTAATTATCTGGGGATGCTGGCTGACTCTTTGGTAATTTAACTTGCTAACGAAAGACCTGGAAGCCCCCCCGGACCATTGCTGAAGACACTGGAGAAGGTACTGCAAAAAGAAAAAGGAATTATCAGAGAAGTCCTAGGAGAACTGTCAGGCCAGAGAACTTCACAGTTCTCCCCGTGCCCCTGCTCTGGCTTTTCCTTAGGCTTCACCCGACAGCACAGGAGTGCTGCGGCGAGCGCAGCTCCGGAGGAAGGAGCTCACCGGACGCTGGAACAGGCTCTGCACCCGATGCACGACACCGAGACTTACAGAAGCAAAACGAATGGTTTTCCAGCCCCTACCCCAGCCCGGTATAAGGCAGACGTGTCGGGAGCTATCTGCAAATCTTGCATTCAGCAAAATGTTAACTTCTGTCAAAGCTTTCAGAGCGCGGTATGTTGCAATTATGTGTAAATGAGTCTAGAAGAACGGTGGTTTTTCTCACGTACCGTATACAAACAGCATGTAATCCGCATGTGATTTCCCCACCGCGTTTGAAGCCTCACAGCGGTATGTACCATTATCTGTTTTGTTTAGGTTACTAATGAGAAGGTTTGAACCAGACACTACAACGTGCTGAGGCATCTCATCATCTACTCTTAACCACCTCATGTCCGTAGGCCTACAGAGGAGGGAGAAAAAGAAACAGTCACATTACTATTTTCCTACGGTAAAGACGGCATCTTCAATAGTTCATCCACAGACAGAAAGCCCAAACCAAGAAAAACTGTAAAGAAATAACACACACTTTTTTGCGCTACTCAAGCCCAGATGCTGTCGGGCTTCCTCAATTTACATTTATTTTAACCCAACAGGAAACTGTATCCAGACCTTAAATTTTCTGAAAACACTAATGCAAGCAGGAAGAAAGTTCATTAGTGGTTAATCATTCGTTTATTCAGTAAACCTGAAATCTTTGAGGCTACGGACTAAATGCGCATCCACAGGGTGCTCTGAGTGCAGATCTGGACAGCACGGGGCAGAACAAGCACGTTTTTGTCAGGTCTGAGCCCTTCCGCAGAGCGATGCGATGGACCCATTTCCCTCAGCGGTGGCTGTGCTGCTCGCTAAGAATGTTTTAGCTGCTGGGAGAGAGGAACACCTTTCTCCTCTCCCCCAGTCCCGCCTGGCAGCCTCTCTCCTGCATCCCTTTGCTAATGGAACCAAAATGAGCGTCACATTGGCATCATTTAGGGAATGGCATTAGTGTGGCTTGTTAGAGCTAGTAAAGAAAGCGAGCGCTGCGGGGCTTGGGTGAGGGTCATCTTTTTTTCTTTTTTAAAGTCATTATGGTTATCGTCTTTAAGCAGCAGTGAGGACAGAGCAGCTACGCCCGAGACGGCCTTCCCCAGCATCTCTCAGGGCAACTCAACAGTGAGCTCTCAGAAGGGGAGTTTTATGCCGTAAAACATTCCTCAGCCTGTCTAGTTCCAAAATTTGCAAGTCGGACGTTGCTGGGAGCTCGTGCTGCTAGAGGTACCTCATAGCTCGGGCTTTTCCTAATGGTCTAGGAAACCATTAGGTTCCCTAATGGAAACTAGGATTCTTTTCCAAATGGCAGACTACTGTCATGATGTAGAAGCTCCTGAAGTCGTAGCATTGCAGCCACGCTACTGGGACATAGCTCGATGCTGGGTGTCGGCTGCCTGCTCCAAAGCTGATATTTGGTTTTGGACAAGGGCTGGGCGCCCTCCTTGTCGCTTGCGAGCCGTCGGCACACGAGCCGCGGCACGGGCAGCGGAAGCTCCTGAGAGAGCAGAAATGCAGTTTAACCTCAATACAGGTGGAAAGGGTACGGCTGTTTGTGATTCTGGAGCCCCAAGGTTTCAGGTGCTGCGTGCACCACACAGCAGCCCGTTCCGCAGAGACGCGTCTCACCCTGGCTGTCCTAACAGTGACCGTTTCTGTATCTTCCCACTTTTGTCCTAGTCTTGGGGAGGGGGGCTGTGCCTAATCTAACAAATCCTGTATTAATACCCAGATAGAAATTTCTGCTCTCTGGGCTGCTGTTTTCCTCTCAGCTTCCCTCCCCTGATGTTGATGTTGCCAAATTTTGTAGAGAAATGATTTAGTTTAACTGGAGAAACATCCCTGTTCATCTTAAACCCCTGTAAAGGATTTGATGAAATCCATTTGTCTTAAAAACACAAGAGCTAAACAGAGCCCATTATTTTACTGTGTATTTTCTTACGCTTTGAGAGACCCAGGTGAAGTGACCTACATAAGCGAATCCCTAGCACGTTACTAGCATCACCGTAACGTTAAGTGGCGTGCTGCCGGGGAGATGTGTCTGTCTTATTTAACATGTGTATGTCTTATTCATAGCCTGGAAGGGGAAAAAAAAAAAAAAAAAAAAAAAAAAAGTAAAGCAGCCTATTCGTTAAATTCCCAGATGATAGCAAATGGGAGGAACGAGGAGGAATGCGAAGGGGCTTTGGCAGACTCTGAGCAGGGAATAGATATTAAAATGGAACTCAGCAGGGGACGTGCCAGTCTCTAATGTACGGGGAAGGAATCAGCCTCGCGCTGAACAGAAGAAACTGGGAAGCAGGAATCAACAAAATAATCTGGGAGAGGAGGTACGCTACCGTGGAGGGTGACAGCAGCCCGAGCCTCCTCGCTGCGGAGCGCTTACGCCCTGCCTGCCGCTGCCCACAGCAGCAGAACTGTCAAACCAGATGGCTTCCAGTTCGACTACACCTGCAGTAACTCCTCAGCTCTGGGCATGCTACCAAGGAGACGCTGACAGGTTTCAGGGATGTTTGCAGAAATCTTATGAACATGATGGAAAAAAAAAAAAAAAAATTAAAAAAAGGATAGTAAATACTTGACAGCCATAAATCCAAGTGGAAGAGGAAGTATTAAGAAAAAAAAAAAGTCGACAAAACTTAAATTAGAACAACAATGAAAGTGTGGAAGAAAATCTACCCTCCCTTGCCAGGACTTTCCTGATGCATAAATTTCTTCAACTATATGAGGAAGCCTCAAGGGCATGGCAGGAAGAGGAGAAAGAATAAAACTCGCATTTCATAAAAGCCACGCAGGGCACCGAAAGGGAGGCAATCATCGCACAGTCAATACAAGCAGAAAGACAGACTGCCTTACCTTAGCGATCCATTCCACTTTTACAAGCGCTCAATTCTTTGGTGCCAGTCTTAGTTCTGCGTACCGGCACCGCACTGGGATGCAAGAGGCAGGCCCTGACCTCGCTTTTGCAGATTAATTGCAACGGATTGCCACCCAAGCCATTCCCTGGGGGAAGAGGCGTGCAGCTGCGGGACCTTTCCCTTCTGCACCCGAGGGCGTGCCGCGGGGTGGCCGCGAAGGGCTCTCCTAGGAGCTCTTCGAGTAGAAACCCCTCGGCCATTAGTTATACAGGAATAAATGCAAATCAAGAGATATCCCAAATGCACAGCAGATTCTCGGGTGCAGAAAGCGTCTCTCTCTCGCTGTTAGGCGGTCTTCGCAGCAGAGAATGGCGTACCGAGCGTCTGCAATAGCAACAGAGGCCAAACGACGTCTGCACGCTTCTGCAGCACGACCCCGTCACTGCCGGACAACCTGGCCCATCCTCGGGAAGCGCCCAACTTACTGTGGTTTTCCAAAGGCTGCGCACGTCAGCTCAAGCGGCTCCCCTTCTCTCGTGAGGCCTTGCACCGGGTAATTCTGAGAAACCCGCACTTGAGGCTTATCTGCAGGACAAAAAAAAACATCATTTCGTAAAACTGGCGCGCCAAACCGGAGCAGGTTCGCGTGCGCCCACGGCCCCCTCCATGCCGTTTGCCCAACCAGCAGCCGGCGCGGCCGGCAGCAGGAAAAGCTGGAGCTGCCAGCGCTTCGTGCTCCGGCCGAAGCACCGCGCTTCCCCGGGAAATACATTTTGCTGCGCGGGAGTTTATCTCTGAACTCGCTCAAGCTAAAAGGAACTCATTTGCCTTCACGCTGAGGTGAAACCGGAGAGATCTGCGGTGCTCAGAATTGACAGGTCTTATCGTGTATCATGTATTACTGCATGACAACACTTGGCGTCCACGCATATTAATACGTCGGGCTTTACAAGAGACGCTCGTTAGAAACACAAGAAGAAGCAGCCACTGCTGCTTGTGTTTAAACAACAGAAGGTTTTATTTTGTCCAAACGAAGCTCTTCTAAGTCCTAAAGTAAACACAGAGAATTAAAGCATTTACAGTTAGGGAGCCAGCTCAGAAACACTTCAGTAGGACCCTGCTGGAAAAAAAAAGCGCCGAACCACAAACCTAGAGTCCACAATTAAAAAATTCATTACCTCCCACAACTGAAACACAGATTAAAAACGCAATCTAAGCCGTAGCGCAAATGTTATCAGTGCAAGAAATCAATTCAATGCTACAAACGCCATTAAGCCATATATATTTTTCAGGAATTTACTCAACTGTAAAGAACAAAGGAAGGCAAGAAATCAGTATGCATAAAGGTTGAAGCCGTTTAAATGTTTCTATTTCCTTTGAGAGTAACTGCTACCAAAAATATTGGCTTGCTGCATTTTATTAACTGTGTTTAACTCATCAACATGCTTCCTATGGAATAATAGAGATTAGGGGGGAAAAAAAAAAAAACCCACATCCGTGTCAGGATTTAAACAATTTAAACTCTCATAATTTTCAGTAATGGAATAAGCTACATGAGTAAATCCTCTCCTGAGATGACTATACCGCAAACGTTTTATGAACTAATCCCCATTACAGATGCTTCTCGCAGCTACGAAACCCGGGCGTCTCTGCAGGCTGGAAACCGCGGGGATCGCGATGCTTCGGGGCTGTCGTGCGCCCGAGGCGCAGAGTCCCGATGCTGCTGGAAACGTGAGCGACTTCGGCGTGCCTGAACACACGCTTGACGCTTTGCACATGCCAAATAAAAACGTGGAAGCAAGCGGTAGGCTCCAGGTGCCAGCTGGGGGGAAGAAGGTCCTTCGTAGGAGGGTGAAAGAGCCTCCGGCGTGCCCTTGAGCCAAACCCCGGAGCAGGGACCCGTCCCCGGCGCAGCCGGGCTCGCCCGTCGTGGCGAGTGCAGGCACGGCCGAGGCGGTCCAGGTCTCGGAGGTCCAAGCCGGCCTTGGGAGGGACGTGGCACGAGTGGCCACGAGAAAAGCGCAGGAACGCAAAAAGCAGCGCGGAAAGACTGCGCTAAGCTCGGTCTGCACCAAGAGCGCTTACGCCATGCATAAACACGGGCAGACGAGTTAAACCAAGCATTATGCAGCAAGTAAATCACCAGCAGCGTCTTCAGCGCTGCGCTCTCATTCACAATTCCCACCCCCCCGGCCATCTGCTCGCTATTTATTGTTTGCTTTGCAGCGGTACCCAAGAGCCCACGCCGGAAACATGGACGCGATTGTACCGTGCGCCGCAGGAAGAGTAGAAAACCTCTGCAGCCCGGTTTACACGGGAACACAAAGACGACAGCACCCTGCGCTGAGAAAGCTCTGCGCCACACCTCCTGCAGCTTGCCTCTCCTGTTGCTCCCACCCTGTTTGCGTTAGATAAATTCTAGTGTTTCTAACGAGCTGTTTACCAGCTGACAATTACTTATGGAAATCGGGAGGAATACGCTGAAGGCTTGCTGCACTGAGAATGAACCGCAAAGCAAGCGAGCTCTCCCAGAACTACAGGAGGGGAGCCTTCCACTTCAGCTTTCCAGCCCCACAGTCTTCATTAAACACATGAAAGCAGCAAAGCAAACCCGCACCATTTTGATCTGGACACCGTAGAGATGTCACCTGCAAGAGGAATCCGGGCTTTAACAGCACACGTGCTCCCAATAGAGTTATCGCAGCGAACGCCTCGCCTAAGCCGGACTCGCCAGCACGCCGGTAATTACAGTGGGCACTTATGAAAATGCTTCACAAGTCTGAGGGGTTCGTTAGGATGGCTGGGCGCTCGGGAGAACCGGCATTTTCGTTAGGCACACCCTATTAAAAAAAAAAAATTCACTTGCTTCAACCAAGAATTTGGTGGGGCTGGGGGTGTCTTTTTTTCCTTTTTCTCCTTTCTTTAAGGACATGCCTTTAGAGGATCTTCAGTTCTACTGCGAAGCGTCCCATCTCAGACAAAGCCAGTATCTATTTTCTTCAGATTATGGACTCCGTTAATAAAGCTTTGTAAAATGCCAAGCACTGTGGGATCCTGAGCTCAGCTCCTACACGGGACCGTGACATTTAGTAGCCTACGCTGGTAAAGTTGCGATGGTTTTCAGTGCCTGGACTAGCACTTTGCCACCTATGAACCACTTTATTAAAAAGGCTGGGTTCTAGTTGCGGCATCTGCAGCTGTATAATCTGGGGCAATGACTATCTTGGACGGCGATCCGGGGCGTAAGGCAAGCAGCAGCAGAGTTTTTACCAGCAAGCGCATTCCAGCAGCCCAAAATCCTCGACTTGGAACTTTGTAATATCATACCTCTGGATCACTACATAAAAATAAATGCTTGCGTCTATGCACCTAAGCCACTACATACTCCACCGGCAGCCGCTAAGATCTAACAACCCAAAGCTATTTCCTAGTATGCTTATTTCTAGCAGCTTAAAAAACCAGCCTAGTAATTTAATAAGGCACCTTTATTAAGCTAAATTCATTCAAAAGCTAAGAGCGATATACAAGGTTAAATACCAGTAGTCTAAAGGTTACGCTGTAGCAGCAACCAATTTGAAAAACTTATTCCAAACCCATTCTGCGTTTGATGAAATTTCTTTTACAACAGGCGCACCGCGTGCCTGCAGGCGCGGGAACCGCAGCCTTCCCGGAGGGACTGCACGCCCCGCCGGGTGGTTATGGTGCGTGCCAGCCCGACCCCGCGCCCAAAAATGCTCCTTCGCCTCCGATCAACCCACATTTTAATTTCTCAAGCAGCGGAGATGCTGAAGAGTCCTCCAGCCGGCACGTCGTGCCGGAGCAGCAGGCGCTCGCTCGCCGGCTCAGACGGAGCCCAGCCGACAAGGCGGGAGAGCTCCTCTCCCCTCCGGATTTCACCGGCCGGCCCGGGCTGCACCCGCTGACGTCTCACAGTTTTAAAGCTCCGTGGTCTGGAAGTTACCGAAACGCTCAAGCTATTCTGCGTTCGCCCCAGTTCTTCCTCTTAGTAGCTGCTCGCCCAGTTTCTGCGCCATCAGCAAAGGTTATTAACGGTGACTTTTTAAGAACTTCACATGCTTCCTGGGAGCACCGAACAGCATCGGGCCAAGCACCCAGGCCGGTGCATTCACTCAAAGCACCACCGCTTGCCGATTACTCCCTAACGACTCTCCTTTCAGATCTGCCAGTTCGCGATTTCTTAATCCATTTAAACGTGCGCTCCATCGATAATGCTTAGATCTCATTAATCAGCCAAGATATCAACGTTATACCGAGTTCGGCGCCTTACAAAAGCCTAAACCTATTATTTCTACCCATTTCTTTCCATCAGGCCAACCTAGGATCTCAAAGGCAGGCGAGCCCACCTGTGGCTAAATTCTCAGATGTTGCAGGCAGCAAGGATGCTAATGCACAGTCGGCATGCCTGTCATCTGGAGTATACCATGTCCTTAAATAAAAGGCTGGGTTTCTTGGGAAAGGCAAGGCGACACGTGAAAGGTGGTTACGTTCTCGCCCTCGTGCCTCTCCTCTGAAATGCAACCAGAATACGCATAACGAGGCAACTACGTGCAATGAATTTAACTCTGCGGTCATATCCAGCAATTTCCCTGGGCACGGAGGCGACTAGAAGCTGCTACAGAAAGCCTGCATTGCACCTGACGCACGTGTTTCTTTGGGGCCGCGCCGATCACACTGGAGGCGAATCATCTCACCGCAGCAGCTCCTGGTCCTCCGGCAACCTCCGTGCAAGTGATAGGGCTCCTACAATGCAGCAATCTGTCCACTCTGAACACAAAATCTGCGCTGAAACGGTCATTAATAACACAGGAAAAACATTTTGGGAAACGCTACTTCTTCTCCGAAGCCCAGGCGACTCCTAACCCTCGCCCACCACGCCAGCGACAGCCGGTCAACCCTTCCTGGCCGACACGCTCCCAGCTCAGCTCGGAAGACGGCCGAAAGCCTTCTTCCCACCTGCTGCTTCGGGGGGAAGCCGTACGTACTACAACACGAGGGAGGAAGACAAGCTCTCGAAAGCAGGCTGGGGCTCACAGAGCTCCAGCGCCGGGCAGGAACGGGCACTGTCCGGCATCGCCGAGGTTCTCCTCGACGGCTCAGCTGCTTACAGACGCTCAACAGAGCGGACACACAGCAAGAGGGGCTATCCAGGACCTCGGTACGTTTTCAGCACAGGATTTCTCTCTCTCTGCTCCCAGTTACCGCTAAACACGTACATTAAGCAAATCGCACATGACTGTAGATGGCCGGTTTCCTCACGGCGGGCGCGAGCGAAGACAAAGACAGGCTCCCGCAGCGGGTCTGGGACAGGCGCACTGCGGCACGCGGCTCGGCATCTCTTGCAACGCCGGACTGTTTGCCAACAGAGAGAACTACAAAATGGATTCTTCCAATGATTCAGCTGAAAATTCTCTTGCCTGCAGTGTGAAAGTAGGGACTGAGTCCAGGTTTTAAAATCCATTTTATGATTACTGTACTAATTCCTGATGTGCACCTCTTGGCAAAAACGATGACAGATGGCATCCCCAGGAGAAGGATCCCGCGGGTCAGGCGGAATTCCTGCCCGC